TCGAATGAAAGATTTCTTGCCATCCAGATCTTGAAGCAGAGGTGTCCAGGAGGGGGTTTCATGGCGTAAGTTACAACATCAAAATTTATGAGGGGGTTACATTTCGACGGACTTATGAATTTTCAAAATGAAAAGTTTCAAATCAAAATGGAAGCATTCAACAGACTGTAGGATATGTTATTATATATCATCTACGATCATTTATATTTTACTTCCGTTGGCACTGTTTTTATGAAGCAGAGAACAATAAAATATCTTGGGAGGAGTGGAGGAAGGTTTATGTGCGCCATCTGCTTTGGGGGAGATGGGCACCCTTGGCCAGATGTATATATAATAAATAGTATTGGTATGTTTTATTATGGCAACAATGCCGCATGGCAACAATGCCAGGTAGGGCGAAAAAAAAGTATGTTATTCTTTTTTAAAAAGCACTGTTTTAATTCTATTTTGCTTAAATTTTATTCATTACCCTACTTTGATTTCAATACGTCGATATGTAAAAATAAATATTATCATTTATTTATGCCTTCTTTTTTGACTGACCACCCTAACTATTCTTCTCTTCATTATCCACGACAGTCAACCATTTACCCATTATTTATCCACTATATATCTATTTCCAATTTGAAAACAATATTTACGTAGTAAAAAATTCCCCGATTTTTTCCATTTTTCCAAGTCAGTCGCCACCCTGTACTTCTAATGGTTTTTGTAACTATCGACTAACTAAAAATTAGTGAAATAAATAAATAGCAATAATAAAGTAAACTTAAAAAAAAAAAAAAAATAGTGATAGAATAAGAAAAAATGATAAGAAATCATAGAATACAACTAAAGGAAAACATTTTAAATAGATAAAACAAATGAGGAAAAAAATTGTTTCAGTTTATGTTTTTATACCTCAATATTCAATCATTATTACATTTGTTTACTATTTGATTGTATATTATCATACTTTTTATTATATTGCACATAAATGCAAGCCTTAGTAAGGGATTTTATATATATATAAGTAATTAAATGTTAAGAAAACACAATTGACTAAAAGTTTATTACTAATAATTAGTACATTAACTCTTACAGTGCCAACTGAAAATATAGCGAATGTTAAGACATGCTTGTTTACACGATGTACCACGGCATTGAAATGATTAAAACCAGAACCATTACTGCAGGATAATCATAATTTTCTATTTATACCTTGATGACTAGTCAGTGAAGATACTATTTAAAGTAAGTAAACACATAGTTCATTCATTAAGGGATAGACCTATCAATCTTATTATTAAACATGGAATTTAACATATAATAACTTGTACTCATATTAAAAATAAAAAAAATAATAATAAAAAATTATAGGACAGCAGTTTAGGTATCATTTATTAAAAGAAACTGAAGAACTGGTTTTTGAAACTTTCTCACAGCGACCCAATGACAGTAGCCAAGTTAACACCTTCTCCTCTCTTCCTTTTTTCTTGACTACATTTATATAAACATTTATATTTCATATTTACAATAAACCAATGTAATAATTATATTATTATTATGTTATCATCATGATAACAACTAGTGTATATTTATTAAATATGCTATATAGTGGGTTGATAAGACCTAACTCCAAAAACGTTCTGCACTTTAAAAAAAAAAAAAAAGTAAAATAACAACCATAATTAAGAATTCATAAGAAAGTAAAAATAGTAATATGATATTCAATCCAATCATAACTAAGTTTATTATTCATAAACTTGAAAGACTTCCCTCACGCAAACAATTTTTTCCTGTGCCACCTTTCCATTTCCCTAATTCAACATTCAATAACTTATAACTGAAATTGCTACAAAAAAAAATATATATATATATTTTTTTTTGTATTTACAAATCAATCATTAACCTGTGCCCTAAAGTGCCACCCCTATTCAATTTGGATTATACTTTAGTGTTCCATACACAAGATAAGCACAACTCGTTAATTGAACATCTGAATTTTTCGAGGGAAAACTAAATGAACAACTTAAGTGGACTAAAATATGCTCAAAAGGATGTCCCTTATTTCATTTATTTTAATGGGAAGCAGTAGTAGCATAATAACCCGTTAGGTCGTAATAACCGAGCATGTTAAAGCGTAAACTTTAACATTTTTGAGATTATGGCCGCTGGTTAGATTCTGCCCGGGCGGATTAAAATCTTTTTCGTGGCGGACCCATGGAATGAGTCTCAACCTTCCCAATCAGGTTAGAATAGATTTAGTAACTTCAAGTTCAGAAATCAATTTATGTTTACTGGAAACAACAATGAGGAAAATAACTTGTATTACATTGAAAATGAAAGATATTTTTTTAACAAAGCAAGCCATATTTTTTTTTAAAAAAATATGACAATAATTTACCAGTATCGATAATATTTACCAATCTCAAATGGCTCTAAGGCTTTTTAATTATACTTGTCTTTGTGAACCACTTCATAATTAATTAATACAGTTAATCGGGGCTTTACTGTACAGTACTACCACATCTTTTAAAAATGATTGATGAAAATAAATAAATTACTGTACTGTAAATTTTAATCAATATCTAGAAACAACTATCTTTCTATTCCTAAGACAATACCATCCTCATTGGAATGTTTTTATTTTACTTTTAATAATAGGAGGAAATCACAGCTCAAGAGGGGAAGAATAGTAAAAATAAAATACACAAAGCTAAATATTTTCTTTTTATAAAAAAATTGATTTATTCGGTGATACTCCGACCATAGGATTTGGTCTCTTCTGAGCTGAAATGAAAAACAAAAATAGAAGATAAATACTAAAAAAAAAAAGGAAAAAAAAAATAAAGAAAAGAAACAAAATCCAACAACTTAGGCAAGACCGATTTCAAGCAACCAAGATGGCACAGGAAAAGCAAACATACCAACTAGAAAGCAGACAAATAAATTAAAGCAGAGAAAAACAGCTAGCAGGAATGATATGTTTCGAAGTTAGTCAACAGGTAAATTTTTTCTCAAAACAAAAATAATTTTTGAATATAACAAGTACATTTCTTAGTTCACTTTGTCCAAATATTAGACCTGACATTTATCACAGACGTTTAAAGAACACTGCAAGATACATAAACGTATTAACATTTAAAGACGCCTCCTATATACTTCACAAAGGAAAGAGGATTGATAATATTAATGTTTATTTACTAAACTATAGCTTTTCTCAATATTCTTTGGAATTTCTGAAAATATTCTTTTGTTTTTCCGTTTTCTCCGCCTGTGCTGTTGAACCTCAGGTAAATATAATGTGCTGGCTGAAGGAAAAGAAATTAAATTCCAAGAAATTCCACAACCAAATAAAAAGAGAGAAGAAATATGGAAAGTTTTAGGTGTTATTATGAGAAAGAAGTTTAGTGAAAGAGAACGCATCTAAGATACAATTAATTTTAAAAAAGCATTACACTTATAGGTTAGGTAACATTTAACAGTAGTCCATGACAAAAAAAAAAAGGTTGATTAGTCACATTTTATACAAATTAAATTGAAACTAATAGAATCAAAACACTAATGAATATTGTTAAAAAAACAAAACTAAAATAAAAAAAGTTCCAATCAAAAGAAGTCCATGCTGTTAAAACTTAGGACTTATAAACACAAATAGTTAAAAAACATATTTTAGGCCAAAGCTCCAGTTCAGGTGATGTAAAAAAAAAAAAAAAATTTAAATGGTAAAATAATCAATTTAATAAATAATTTTATCATAAATAGTTAGTAACAACGCCCTTAAATGATAAAGTTGTATAACAGAATATATTATATAAATATAACACATTAGTTCTTCAATTTTTCTTAATTACCATCTGGAAGAACAGTATTTCAATATTATAGAAAAAAACAGCAGAGTAGAAATGCTACTAGGTACAAAACAAATAAATTTATTTACTTTTTCATTTACAACGCATAAATAAATTCTACAAAATGACAACTTTTGGAGTAGAATTTCTGCAGCTTTTACCACCAAAAATACCTTTAATTAGTTTTGAATTGAATTAGCTTTTCTATGTACCTTATTATCACTGCTCGTGGAAGGAAGTCAGTGGTGGGCATGACTTTTCATGGCCATAAAATTCAATTTAAAATTACTTTTTCCCCCATAAGGAACATATCCAAAAACTTCTTCCTCAAACCATTTGACCACATTTATGTTTTTTTTTTTTCATTTTATTATTTATTTTCCCTCATACTGAACTAGTAATTTGAAAACATAAAAGTATGAAACGATGAAAGGTTGATACTATTTTATCACAGAGTGTTCCTACAATAATTGCCAAAAGTCACAAGAAAACAATAACAGCTGTTTACAATGTGTATACATTTTATTCTGTTACACAACTTATTCATTCATGCAAAAACACAGCGGTTGCTAATTACTTAAATAAATATACAACATGTATATGTATACCGGGATGTATTAATACAAACACATAAATCCAACAGTATTAAGAAATCCAAGTGAGTTTATTATTTAAAAAAATAAAAATTAAAAAACAATCCGTTATTAGTAACATTAGGATATGCCAGTCGATAAACAGTTATTTGATACAGGTTTGGGGGGTTTGAAATAATAAAAGGTTTTGATAATTGAAAAAAAAAAAAAAAAAAAAAGGAAGATTGTAATGTAATGCCATAAGACAAGATTAAAACAAAAAAAAAAAATATATTTCTGCTAATAGCAAAAAACAATAAAAAAATCCAAAGTTTACACAATCAGTATTTTTTTTTTCTCTATAACAATTATTAGTTTATATTCATAGAGAGAAAATTAGTTAACAAATAATTAATTTTAATAGATCAAAGCCTATTATGATTTTATTTACATAATCAATACAGCACTCAGCTTCTCATTCAATTAATAATAATAAAAAAAATAACTTTTAATACAAATTATTACAAGATGGCCGACTGAAACACCAGAGCTATGGCCCAAGACAAAGATATAAAACTATAAAATATAATATTACCAGTATTGGGAGAGTTACTTGGAGGTAACGCGAGAGCGGGCCTGGCCCTGCGCTGGCCGCCATTGGTTCCTCGGTCGTTCGTGGCCAAGGTCCCAGGAAGCCTACCACCACCGGAAGCAGCAACGGCCCCTCCTCCTCCACAGTTGTCTTCATTGTTGCCTGATCGGTTATTGCCCTATAACATTTATAAAAACATTGAGATCAATGTTCCTAAACAATATACCATAGGTGGAGAATTTGTGAACTAGCTCCAGCCTATAAACATTTTTGAGCACTCTTCATTATTCTAATGCAAGAATGAAATAATATTTAATTATTTAGGTTACAAAAATTAGGAATCAATGGAATTTAGTTGAATCTATGTATATGGGTATGCATTTACTTAAAAATAAAAACAGCAACTGTAAAATATATAAAATTATTGCAGCATCCATTAAGCTTTTAACGATAAAAACGTTCCCCACACATGCAATAGACTATTCCACAGGTATGGAACTTTTTTATCATTAGAGGACGCATTAATGTTAGGAAGTAACAATAGAGGACACAATAATTTTTTAATTTAATTTTTTATGAGGTGTTGATCGAGGGTTGCGGTCAAATAAATACTACATTAAACAAATAGTATTATTTAATTTTTGCTGACGTTCGACCCACTTTGCAGGTCTTCATCAGGGCTACAAAAGATACATAACATAGTGAAAATAAAATAAATGAATATAAGTAGATATAAAATAATAAGTCCTGCAAAGTGGGTCGAAACGTCAGCAAAAATTAAATAATACTATTTATTTTATTTAGTATTTATTGACTGCAGCTCCCGATCAATTCCTTCTCATATTATATCAACGGTCAACCATCTCTACATCATTAATAATTTTTTATAATTTACTGCTGCTATTTTTATTTTTAAGTCAGCACACACCCATATATAAATACATATATTCAACTTAATTATAATAATTTTCAAAATATTGTAAACTAAATAATTTTTATATTTAAAACACTTTATTCAGAATTATTACAATTTGTCACAGTTTAAGGACACTTATAATAGAGTTCAGAGATTGCATTCATAAACTAAATAATTAAATATAAATTAACTCTAGCGTTTTATTATTTATGGCGCAAAATCCGATGGGGCCTCATGCAGCTTCCGAGACCACAGTTAGGTTTCCCTCCAATGGACTATTCTCATGATTAAAATACTAACGAGAATTAATAAAAGAAAGAGAGAAAAAACACAAAATTAAGTATTAATGAATAATGGATTTAAGATAATCATAATTATGTACGTATCCTTCAAAAACAAATGATTTATACCAAATCAAAAACTTAGTTATGTAAGAACATTAACGATAATTTTTAAATATGAAATCGATTGTAAATTTGGGTGCTTGCATAGAAAATGAATCACTTCAATCAAATTCAGGTGATGAAGAATATAACAAAAAATAAGTATATAAGATATAGATTGTGCTTTCCAAATCATAGAAAAAAAGTTCATAATCAGCTGGGTCACACGGTCTTAGTCCATAGTGGCATGGCATATACCGATACCACACAAGATTATATCAAACATCTCTTAGCCATACTAATCCGCAGTACAGACCTCTTTAAATCAAATTATCAACATCCATCTAAACTTCGAGAATGGATTCATCTTATTCTAACCTGCAATTTTTTATCTATGAAAATTCTCACAAATAGGATATTACCTAATTAATTAAGTTAATGAGGTACTAAAAATTCATGAATACCCACCCAGTTGATTAACACTTTAATCGTAAGATAATTTGATTATAAAATCAAGAAAAAAAAGGCCTACAAATATATTGGGTCTCTATAATCTTGTTATTTTGACTTGTTGCGAGTGGATGTCATGCCAAATTGACCCAAAATATTTTTCTCAATTTCGTGATGAAATTATATTATAATTTAAAATTTAAGTGGAAAACGAGCAGGAGTTCATGAGTTTTTAATACCTCATTAAACTAACAAAGTTTAACGATCACCAGATCGAAAGCATCCCATTTCGGAGAATTTTAATAAATAAATAAGTTGTATGTTATAATAGAATGAAGCTATTTATTAAGGTTTTCAGATAAAAAGGGATCTCTACCAAGAATCCTTTTTACACATGCATTTAAATAAAAGCTAATCATTTACATTTAAAATAAATATCAGCCATATGAAATGTTTCGCTAACTGCTAAACCAAAATATTTAACATCTTAATCTTTCTTAAGATTCCACAAACCAGTCACAGTCTTCACGTAGGTTAGGTTGTTATAGATAGAAAGAAATCTGTTTCTTTTTATGCTTTGTTATTACCATCTACGTAAATGATAGTGAGACTGCTACAGGGTTGTCGACAAACTGTAGCAGCTATATTTAATAAAAGAAAACATCCCCAAAAATAAACTAACAATCGTTTTGGTAGCATTGAGTGTTTATCATATAAATTTTTGCTTATTTTGAGACTTAAACTAATTAACATTGGAAACTTCTTCGTTCAACATTTTAATGAATATCAGGAGAACAATAAAAAACAATAAATCGATAAAATTCACTGTCAATAAAGACACGATACGTACAAACTTGAGCATATTCCAATCAAACACATAGTCATATGTGAACATCTTCTTGTGGAATAGAGTTCTGAAAGTCTGCCTTAAGAGGGAGTAATCGGGCCTCTCTTCGAACCCTAAAGAGCGGCAGTAGTTTAAGTACATCGCAAATTCCCCTGAGAAAAAAAATAAACAAAACAAGCTGTAATTAGAAATGTTTTAATTATACTAAGACCAAACTGTATTTGATAAGATAAACTAATAAGAAGAACAAAAACAAACAGTTGATTCTAAAATGCTAATCACAAAAAAGAATTTTTGAAATATTATAGTTTTAGGTTTAAGAATAAGCCTATTAAAATAAATATATAAACTTAAGTAAATGAAAATTAAATTGTTAAATAAATTCTCAGGTGAAATCAGACAACAGATGATATGGTAATACTTTGGGTGAACAGAATTAACCACTTAGCAAGAAAAAGAATATCATCCCATTCCTTGTAAGCAATCTCTCTGATACTAAATTTAGAATTTCCATTTATATTAATGGGCCAGAATACCAAATTTTAACAAATTTTTTTTTTTTTTAATGGTGTCTAACGAATTACAAATATTTCAAGGCTATAATGATTTGGATTGATTATCAGTTAGCTCCTTGATGGAGTTTAATCTCATACAACACAAGCTGATACTCTACAATATGAGATTTGAAATTTAAATAAAGATTTTTAACTCGTAATGTTAGTACAGTTGAGGTTATACCTAAAACTTTTGTATGTAATATTAAGATATGGCCAATATTCAATACTGACTTAGGTATTTCTAGTGAATTAATAGATTAGCTTTGTTTCTACATTAGTTATGGGATTCATATTAAGAATCACTAACCAATAAAATAATATAACATAAAATATGGCTACTTACCCGGATATCCTTTACAGAGGTCATCAATGGATGAGGACATCTTTTTTTCACTAATACGTTCATATTTCTGACGCTTGGTAGCCGCTTTGAGGCCTTGCCAAGGCAATGATCCCCTGTTGAAATACATCAGTACATAGCCTAGAGACTCGAGGTCATCTCGCCTACTTTGTTCTGAAAAACCAATCATATTACTTACAGAAACTTCTTAAAGGAAAAATATTACATAAATTAATATCAAAATGCAATAATAAATTAAGAACCTTTAAGAACATAAACATAAACTAATCTTAATTAAATAGTAAAAAGTCTTCTGAAATGTTAAAAAAATTAAATCAGTAACATTAATATATTTTCCTTGATTTTCACAAATTCCTAAGATATGAGCATATGAAATATCCTATTGCCTTCCATTTTGAAAAAAAAAGAAAAAAGAATGGCAGAAGGCAATGTTGAATTTTTAAGAGTATCCTGGTATAACCTGAGAGCTTGGTTGAGTCCATCTAAGATAAGTTTGCAGGTGGGTAGAGGTGAGAGACGTACACACTAGTAAAACCTTTTCCCACCGATCTTGCACTCTTTTACCTTCTCTCTACTCTCATTGAGACATACTTCTACATTTTTTTTTTACTAATAGAAATTTCTTTTACCAATTTTTGTTTACCACCTCAAGTAACAGGGTAGAGGCAAACTATCTATTCTCAGACCAAAAACACAATTATGAATGTATTTAAATTCATGAAAACAGAGACTGGGAGTGGTCCAGTACAGTAACAATAATGTAGTATGGGATGTTTTTATGTTCTACACATTCTATCTATTTCTTGGTAAATTTAGATCTACAGATTTACACTTTTTTTTTTTTTTTAATTTGGATTATTTAACCATCCTTGCCACTATTTTCTTTTCTTTTTTAATTAAAATCCCTATCTTCAATAAACATTGGTGAGAAATTAGAAGAAAATCGAACAAGGTATTCCCGGCAGGAGGTAGGTGATTGCTATGGCGAGGAGGGGAGGTGGAGTTTCAGAGGGAGAAAGGCTACGTGAGCTCTCTTCCCCTACAGACAAACTCATCTTGATACACTATACTAAATAAAAAAAAAAATCATCCCAACAATCTTACAGAAAAACCATTGTTATAAGTGTATGAATCCACTAATTAGCTGCCATATCAAGTTCTGAGATTTTTCCTAGAGTAACCTGTGACTTCGGTGTTCATTTCTTTTTTTCTTCATCAATTACAGAGATCCATCATTGATAATAATAAATAAGTAATGAAAGTTATAGTGAATAAAGCCAAAATATGAAAAAAAAATTGCTGACTGAAAAAAATATAACCCCTTATACATAGCCTTACTGAAAGATATGTATCTTGTTCTGTCCGGCTAAAATATCAAATACAAAAACAAGTCTTTTTCATTCTTTTAATAGGTATTCCAAAGCTGATCTTGAAGGAATATTTTGAACTTAAAAATTCACGATAACTACTTACTAACATTTGCAAATTTAACTTTGTACAAATCTTTGATTAACCTCCAATATATTAACAAATGATAAGACGTCCTGGTTATAAACATTGTCAGGATCGATACAATGAGCAAAAATAAATCAGTAAGGATATAATAATATTTAAAGTGATTCAAGGAATAGGCCACACTTTAATATTGAGAATTTATAAATATTTAACAATAATTCAATATCTGTAAAGACCATTGAAGTATAAACAAGAGTGTTTATAATCCAGGCATTACAGCAAGAGAGCGGGGGGTGAACACTAGCACCGACTAGTAATGATTAAGAGAAAAGAAACAAAGATGACTGAGAAGGAAATGCCTACGTAAATTTGTTTGGTATTATAATCAATTAATATGGCTGATTTTTCGTAGGTTGTGTGAACAATGTGTTGAAAAATATACATTCAAAGGCAAAAAACTCTCTGGAGGACTAGAAAGAGTGGTAAAGAATATTAAAATAGTCAGTCAAGGATGAGTTGGACAGAAAATATATAGCCGACCTTACACGATCGGTCGTGAATGAAAGTCACAAGATTGACAAGGATTGCTCTAATCATTATGAACTCTACACGTTTAATCATTACTTATCATTTTAGCTCAATTGACATAGAGATAACAGGCAGCATGGATGTGGTGCATTGTCCACTTATATTAATGTTTTTAATTTAAAAAGCTTATTTGGACATTATCCTTAATAGCATTGGACATAAAGAGGAAAATGGAGTTAACGGTTTCAAGAATTTACAATGGTTGTGAGGCCTAGGTAAACTATATAATAGTACGGTTAGTCCCAACTCTACTTCTCGTGATTGAACCTTTGATCTCTGGAAATCTGGCGTCCATCAGTACTCAATCAGTACCTTACACGATCAATTGGAATGTCAATAATAGTGCCTCGGGATGCAATTCTGAATGACCGTGTAAGGGTCAGCATAAGAAGCCATTATTTAACTGAATTTTCTTAACAAACGGAGAACAGTTCGTTACTGCTGGCTACCATACTCCCTCGGATCAAAAGAAAGCAACTTATAGAAACAAACTACCAGGGACAACATTTTGCTGATCTGAAAGACAAAAGCTTTATGAAATAGTCTGGAAATCAATTAAACAACTAATATTTAGTCAATGTTTATCACTATTTAACTTTCACATGTTTATACCATTGAACAAGACTTAAGCAGAGCAGATTCACTGGCGATGTAGGAAGTGAGTTTATAATATAGATGTAAAAACACCTTTTTACAAGGACATAAAACAAGCTTTCGATTTAATGAGAAACATAATAAGAATGTGTCAATAATAACGGTGTTTAGGTTTTTAAAAATTTGGTGTTTAATAATGTTTAACATTATTTTTTAATAATTTTAAATAACAAGATATTTTAAGACACAGGTAATTTCCTTTCATTCTGTTAGTACAGCATAGCTAATAATATTTAATGATTAATATTATATAAATGTTCTACCTTTATTAGCTCTACATATAAAGAAACACTCTGTATAAAAGAATGTTAGATAAGATTCAGCTAAATAACTTTTGAGAAGCATAAGGCCAATAATTAAATAAAGCTTGATTTTATGAGACTGTTACACAATAGTAGCCAATTACAGCTGATAGAAAATCAAACCATATCAATAAACCTATTAAAAATAAACTAAATTTCATTAATAATGGTATGGAGATCGTTGAGCATAGTTATAATTTGAGAAGAAGTTAATCGGGGGTGCGGTGAATATATAATATTTGTTTGTTTTGTTTCGATGTCGAGTACTAAATAACATTATATATATATAATACCATATAGTTTCACAAAGGTGCGCGATAACAAAAAACTGTTTAACTGAACAAAACAATGTTTTTACAAATGTATCATTGATGATTAACTAATATACAAAAACTATTATGATTGTACCACGGAGTGTACATGAAAAATTTGTCAAAGTTATAAATGATATGATGTACCTAATAATGATAACCAATCCTCACAAATAAGATAGTGTCATACAAGGAATTAAAATGCTGTAATAGATTTAAAAAAAAATGTATTTCATGTAAACGTGGCAATGGCATTTGAACTATCTTACTGAGTGTCAGTTCTTAAGAGTCTTCTCAAGTCAGACATTACACAAGGAAAGATGAAATGTTGATGTGAGTTATTCAATGATATAATTAACGTCCATACAATTAGATAAAATAAGAAATAGGATAAATAATTTTTTAATTAAAAAAATAATTGTTCCATTATCATATCCATTGTATTTTATTTATAAAGCAATCGAATAAGAGCTAAATGAGCACAAGAAGGTGATGGTGAATGTTCTGTCCAAAGAAGTAGCGGAGAGAAGAAATATCCGTAGCCAAGAGAAATGGACAGCAGATGTTTTTGATAGGAAAAAAACACAGGCTCTCTTGTATCTATTCAATTTGAATTATAAAATAAACAATACTCTATATACACCAATTCAAGGGGAAATTAACCATTTTAGTAAAAGAAAAATGTAAAATACCATTATAAATGATTTGTTTTTAATCTAGAATTTAATTAAAAATAAAAACAAAACAACTATTCATTCAAAGAAATAAAACTAAACATTTCGAATAAAAAGTATTTTGTCAGATTTCTTAAACATGATGGAATTGATAGTGATACATTAAATACAATGTAAAGAAAACAAAATAAAATATTGTATTCAATACAAATGAATGAGAAATTTAGCAGGTTTATTATGTTAATATCTTGGGGAAGATGTACATATACAAAGCCCTACCTTTTGTTAGTAGCAGCTGATAAAAAAATAACCATATGTTAAAAGTTCTATTTAGTGTAAGCATCGGGTATGCATATACTACTTGTACAGTGTATATCATCTGTTTCTAGCAAAAACTCATTAGGTGACATTTCATAACCTCAAATAATTGAGGAGAACTTTGACAAATTTTTCCTTTGTAAAATCGGAAAATTGTGCACTTTGTGGAACTATATTTGATAAAATAAATGGGTATGTGTCATTTTTATCAACTTACGGTGGTTTTTCTTAGATAAAGATAGTAAAAATTACAAAAACATATTTGGAAGTTAACCTATATCAAAAATGCACTTAGTGACTTTTTGCAATAAATTGACAATATAATGAAACATTAGAACTTTAGGCAACAAAAATATTTACATAGTTAATAGTTTTGCTTTAAATTAACTAAATATTGTGACATATTATCACCTTAGAATACAATTATTGTTCAAGAGGAAATTATATTGTGGTATAATGATATTTACAATAGAAACCCCACATGGTAGAATGTGGGAAATCATAATGGTGCAGAAATCTCATTATTTTTTGCTTCCTTAAAATTCTTATAAAACTGAAAGAACACTAAATGGACGACAAAGTTTTGTTCATAAGATAAAGAATATATGAATATAATTAAAATTATTAATTCTGAAACTTGATAATGAATCATTTACAAATTATTACTTTGTGCCATTAATGCAATATTTTTCCTTTATTGCAAAAAATCACGAAATAAATTTTGGATAGAGGCAAACCTTAAGATACAAAATTGTGAATCTCAATCATGTTTATCAATGTGAAAATTACATCAGGTATACCACTATAAAATATCTCTTATCATATGTCAAAAATAGAAATAATCAGCCCACAATGTTTTCATTTCACAGAGGAAAAATGTATTAGTGATATAATTTTCAAAAAGGTATTAATTTAATGACAATTTGCTATAAACCGATAATATGTATTGAAAGAACAAGCTTATTTCACGGTAACTGACAAACAGAATTAGAGATAAAAGAATATTAAGAAGTAAGCAGGAAGAGAAATCATCTTTCATAAAAGACTACTTCCTAAACTTTTTAACTAAAACATAGCTCAAAAAAAGAATGCAGAACAAGGTTAATTTTATCACAAGAAAAAATGAACCAAGTAACTGATGTAAACAATTCATTACCAATGCCAAGATGAGTATTTATCGATGCATATCTTGCTGTCCCAGTCAGGTTTTTGTTTTCCCGATATGGAATGTGCTGATGTGTCCTTCCATCCCTGTATTTTTTTGCTAATCCAAAATCTATAATATACACTAAGTTCCCTTTTTTGCCAAGACCCATTAGAAAATTGTCAGGCTTAATATCTCTATGAATGAAATTTCTGCTGTGAATAAAGTCTATCCGACTGATCTAAAACAACATTCATATAAATTAGTTATAAAAATCAGAAGAGATGAGCTTATAACTAGATATATATCAAATATCTTACCAATTGATCAGCTAATAACAAAACAGTCTTAAGAGAAAAACGACGAGAACAAAAATTAAACAAATCTTCTAACGACGGGCCTAACAGTTCCATAACCATAACATTATAGTCACCTTCCGATCCACACCACTTGATGGTAGGTATCCCAACTGTAAAAATAAGATAATTGAATTATAGCAGTGATTCAGAACATTATAACTGATTGTAAATACTAATAAAAGTCTAAGGTTGTAAGATGTAAATAAATAATCAATGTAATCAATAAATTGCATTCAGAGTGAACACAATTGATGAATACTAACTGCTTATATAACAACTAAAATGTTTTATCTATAATAATAAACAAAAAATGATAAATTATTTCAATAGTAAAATCAAAAACCTATCACAGAACTTAACACTAGTGAAAAACAAAAAAGATAAAAGATAACTAATTAATTCACTGTTTCTTAATATCCACCATGTTGAACAAGAGAACTAAAATACAGATTAAATGTACAGACACTGTTAAACATGATAAAACAGTTAGAAGCTCAAGTAATTCGTGCCATAACGAAATACTGACCTCTGATTCTGGTGGGTACCTACCTCCATTTTGCATCATTTTGTAAAACTTTGACTCTATATGCAGCTGAGGATGTCTTGTTCGTATGCATTCTAGTTTGATTGCTACCTCTTCACCAGTAGAAATATTAGTTCCTGCAAAGAAGGCCACACAAGGCAATAAATGATTACGATAACATAATGCGATGGAATGAAAGAGGGGTAATATAAAGCGAGATGGTAGGCAATAAAATCAATTACCAAGGTATATATCTCCAAAAGAGCCACTTCCGATTTTTCGTCCTAGTCTGTATTTGTTTCCAACCCGGAGTTCCATTTCTGCAAATAGAAAAGGCCTCTATGAAACAACGAAAACATAAACATCTTTTCTTTGGGTAGCCATTTTGGATATGACTACGAATGGTATGGAGTGAAGACTGGCTGATATAAAATAGTGTCCAGGTTCGAAACTACCTTGTTGTGGGTGTTGTTATTGTTGAGAGATGATTAAAAGAGTCGCCATCAAGAGTTGTTGGATATCCCCGACTGATACGACATATTTTCCATTCCCTGCTAGCCCTCTGACCCTCACACTAATAGCCACACAGATGATATGGCCGCCGTCCCCCCTCCACTTTTCTCAATCAGCTGTTTTAGCCCTCGGCCTATCTTTTATTACTATTATCTTCGCTTATTATAGCTATTGTCTCTAGCCTCAGCTCCATTTCTCCTCACATCTCTTTTTCTTTTGAAATATTATTATCGATGGTTTATTTCTCCTTAAGTAAAAAAAAATAAATCATTACACAATCCTTTCTACTGAATTATTTAGCTGTATTATGCAGAACAATTCGACATAGTCAACTGCTGTTGCGATTCTAAGCTAACATCTGGCGTGTTAAAATATATCAAATAAATACTTAGCTTGAGATTATTGAATACTCACAGTTTAGCACCGAGTTGTGTTTTCGTTACGATGTTTATTTATTCTAATCAATACCGAGATAAACAATCTGAGTTAATACTTCCACTATCTATATTTATGAAACAATTAATCATAAAATGAGAAGATGAACAGTTTAGAATTGAATGAATGAATGGAAAATACAAATATATATCAAAATATAGACGTTATACATTATAGGATGTACACAATTCTGTATGTTGAAGAAAAATTGTCATAAACAACATTTTCAAAGTTTTACAGGATAGCAAAAAAACAAGTTATAGGTCGCGATGTATTGCTATTGCTAATGGATTGTAGTTCATCTTTATATTTCCAACACAGAGTTCCATTTCTGCAAATAGAAAAGGGCTCTATGAAACAAAGAAAATATAAACGTGCATATTTTATTATTCTTTTATTTTATTTACGATACTTACACTGGAAAAACATGACCTGAATAATGTAAACAAAATAATAAAATTTGATTTAGATATTTTTTCTCCGACATAAATAATTTGTGATAATAAACGAGAGGATCCATTGGTCTGGCTTTGTAAATAGTACATTCATGTATTGCCATTGGACAATATTTTATTTTAAAAATACATAATACCCTCCATACTATTTAAATAAATTGCTATATTCATACATATGGGAAAGATTTAAGAACAGTGGTCCCATTCACAGAAAAAGCATTAGTTGTCTGTTAGATAAACAAACAAATATAACTTAATTATACAGCTTCCCTGGAACAATTTATCGATTAGTAAAATGGTTTTACTAGAATGAGTTTATGAACCTCTCCCCCCCTCCCTTCACACATTATTAACATGTAATTAAAAAATCTAAAATATTAAATCATTAACTTCATTATTATGTATTATCGCTTTAATATATAAATATTGCTTTAAGAAAATGTTGAAATAATTATTATTGAACTTCAATGAAAATATCTAATAATATTTACCCATTTTCAAAATAAGTTATTATAAAGGTGCGTTTGGACATTTCACACACTATGGGAAACACAATTATCAAACTTAACTAACTTAAGAAAAATTATTGCTAAACCAAATTATTTATTTTATTTCTATTGATAACCGGTAGCAGATGGAAAATATTAATAATTAAATCAATTTTCCATTTTTGAATTTTGAACTTTATTCTCAATATCTTTTTATACTGATTTATTTTCCTAATAGTCAGTTTAATAATAATCAAACTAATTTTTTATTGTTATTTATTGGACGTTTCGGATGAATCTTTGTCCCCCTTCTTCAGCAATATTTCCCTTCCTAAAAAATTGGGAAAATCACAGTAATTTAGTAAGATTGCATGGTATTTGACCATAAGGCCAATATATAGGTTTGAAAAGATATTGAGAATAAAGGTAAAAATCTGGTGCGCTCAGCACACAACTTTCACTTACCGCTCAACTTTGAATAGAAATTATTTTCTGATCGTGTTGGGGTATTTTACAATTTTTAATTGCATTTTAAACCGAGTTAAAGCTAAAAGCTTACAGGTATCAAATTATAAATACCATTAAAATAACAAAATCCTATTTATTATATTACCGATTGATTATGGGTTGTACGATTCGTTGATTATGGATTGTATGACTATTAGTTATTAAACTGTTATTTTCCATTGCAAAGTTTACTAAAACGGAATTAAGAGATTTGCATTGTCTGTCATAGACAGGTCAAAAGTTGACACTATAATTGGAAGTGGATACTGTTGGAATATCACTGTTGGAATATATAAAATTCATTAAATTATTGAATAATTTAACTGTTTAAAAGGTTACATAACGATTTTTCGGAATAAACGGACGATAAGATACCTAATGATTTAAATACAATATCAGATCCAGAGTTATTGCAGAACCCTTGCAAAATACAGTAAATATATTTAAGGTTATATATAAACATATCCATGAAATATTTTTATATTTCACTTATTCTTTCACACAAGTACAATTAAATAGTATCATAAACAGCGGCATTGCCTCGAATCCGTTGATTTTAAATACTTTTCAAACAAAAAAAAATTTTTAAAGTTTATATTTAGTAAGAAAATTTCATTTAATTTCCTTGAAAACAGGTGATTTGCTATTACCAAGTTATACCCGAAAACTATCCACCCCTCCCATAAATATATTTTTCAATCTAAATTTTCAAAAAGATTTAAAAAAAAGAGGAACACCACATTGCCATTGGTAGAAAGATTTATAAATAAATTAAAACAAATAAAATTAAGTACAATAGAAAAAGAAATACCCCCTTGGACCTATATACAACCAAAATTAAATCTCCAACTCACCCGATTCACCAAGCACTATCTGCAGATTATAAAGAAAAGTTCCACAAAATAATCACCACATTACCTGAACATCTTTTAATATTCACCGACGGATCCAAATCAGATACATCTACTGCTTCAGCCTTTGTCACTCTTGATACTACCTACAAATATAAATTACTCCATCTTTGTAGTGTTTACACAGCAGAGATTGACGCCGTAGCAATGAGTCTCCGATACGTCATGAAGAAGCCAGTTGCAAATGTGATTGTGGTATCGGATTCTCTAATTACTCTGAAAGCCATGAATAACATGTATCCAGACCATCCATGGATACACTGCATTTTAAATCTTATAAAAGTGCTTCATGAAGTTGGAACAACAGCACATTTTATCTGGTCGCCTGGCCATATAGGCATTAAAGAAAACGAAGTGGCTAATAGAGCAGCAAAAGAAGCTCTTACTCTTCCAAGCCGTAGTAAAGCTTTTTTGACACCATCTGAACTTGCACGACCTCTAAGATAATATCCCAAGAATGGCAAAGACGGTGGGACAACAGCGCACCTAGCAAATTAAAGACAATAAAGAAAGAGGTGCAACCGTGAACCAGCTCCAGACGCAGCAGTCGTAGAGAAGAGGTCGTCCTCACGCGGCTGAGGATCGGACATACTAGACTGACTCACCTCCACCTCATAACAAAAGATCTTATCCCCAGATGTCAAAAGTGTGACCAGATACACTATCCGTGAAATTGATTAATGAAATCCCTCTAGAGGTTTACGTTAAAAAAATTAAGGAGAATGTATGGAACATGTGGCAAAACAAGTGGGAACAAAAAGAATCGAAACTAAAAGAAATTAAACCCCACTGTTTAAAATGGGAAACCTCTCACCGACCGTCTTGAAAAGAGGAGACAGCCCTTTGCAGATTACGAATTGGACATTGTGAGTTCTCGCACTCCTACCTACTAAGAGGACTTGATCCTCCGACCTGCGAGAGCTGCAATGCCCAAAGGACAGTAAAGCATATTATTTAAGACTGCCCTTCATTTGATCCTACAAGGAAAAATTTAGACATGGCACAGAATCTAAAACAAAATCTACAAGACAGTGAAAGTGCATTAAAAAAAACTTTAAGGTTTTTAAAAGAGATAAAACTCTACAACAGAGTGTAATTTAAAGGCGTTGCCAATGACCCTACAGAGTGGAGGCAAATAAAACATTAAATAAATAAATAAATATAAATATTTAAATATATAAATATTTAAATATAAATAAATAAATTATATAAATAAATTATAATATAAATAAATATTTAAATAAATATTTATTTACTCTTGGAAGAGTAAGAGCTTCTTTTGCTGCTCTATTAGCCACTTCGTTTTCTTTAATGCCTATATGGCCAGGCGACCAGATAAAATGTGCTGTTGTTCCAACCTCATGAAGCACTTTTATAAGATTTAAAATGCAGTGTATCCATGGATGGTCTGGATACATGTTATTTTATTTATTTTATTTGTTTTATCCCCGTTGATGTCGCTTTACAGGGCTTAAATGTCCAATGTTCATATACGTCTTCCTCTAAAGTACCTTTCATATAGTTTATTTTAAATAATTAATCATTTCACATTATTTAGAGTTACGAAAAAATGCTAAATATAACTTTTGAAAGAATTTGATAATTGAATAAAGGAGAAAAAAATAAAAATACTTATCCAGTTCGAAAATGCATCTCTGTTAATACTAGTCAGAAGGTACTAGCGGATCCAATATTTAATTTTGGGAAAGGCTTCAGCCCGAAAGCTTTTTTTCATAAAAAAAAAAACGATAATTACTTTGGAATAAAATAAAGGAACTAACTACCTACATGAAATGGTGTTTAAGTGATTCCTAAAATCCCTTTAAATGTAATTACACGAAAAATAATACTTTAAGAGATAATTTTTTTTTCCATAAAATATGGTTTTATTTTGCCATTTTGGGGTCAGCCCCAAAGTCCCCCCCTCCCCCGTATCAGAAGGTATACTTACAATATATCGCTGGAAAGCGGAGAATTTTAGAAAAATCAATATCTAATAAAGAAAGTTGTAGAAGGTAACGGAGAGTGGCTGAAAACTTTATAGATAATTAAAGACCACTTAATTATACAATTATACACCGAGTTTTTTCAAAGTCGTTGGAGCCGATTTCGAGAAAATTATAAAAATGTGTTTTACCGTTGATATTATTTATATATTCAGAATTATTACAATCTGTCACAATTAAGGACATTTATAATAGTGTTCTGAGAACACATTTACACTCTATTTACAATAAATAAAAATAAATAATATGCCCGTTAATATAAAGTGGCACTTGCGGTTAGCCAATTTAAATGAAAAAGTTGCAGTGACATCTAAGGCATATACCTATCTTAAATACCTAATATCAGTTTCTTACGACTTTACGTTTTCGAGCTAGAGAGTTCACATGCACACAGACACACATACTATTTTTCGTGACTTGGTTATTTGGACTTAGGGTACTTTTTGAGAAAATTGTAAAAATGTGTTTCAGCGTTGATATGAAGTAGCACTTCCAGTAAGCCGATTTTAAGGAAAAAGTTACCAGGACATCTAAGGCATATTTATATCTTAAATATGTAATACCAGTTTCCTACGAGTTTTCGGTTTCAAGCTAGAGTGTTCACAGACACACAGATCATTTTTCGGGTGTACTTGAAAATTTTCACGATCGCAATGCTTACACTTGATATATATATATATATATATATATATATATATATATATATATATATAGTATGTGTAAGTATTGCAATCGTGAACATTTTTGAATCTGAGTTTTCAACGGAAATACCCGTTTTGAGATCCCCTGAGTCCAAGTAACCGAGTCCCGAAAAATGATCTGTGTGAGCACTCTAGCTCGAAACCGAAAACTCGTACGAAACTGATATTAAATATTTAAGATAGATATATGCCTTAGATGTCCTGGAAACTTTTTCCTTAAAATCGGCTAACCGGAAATGCCACTTCATATCTACGCTGAAACACATTTTTACAATTTTCTCAAAAACGGCTCTAACGACTTCGAAAAAACTCAGTGTATCATTGTATGATTAAGTGTTCTTTAATATCTTATCTCCTTTGATGTCATTTTACAAGGCTTAAATGCCTAATGTTCATATGCGTCTTCCTCTAAATATGGTTTATTTTAAATAATCAACTATCTCTCATTATTAAAAGTTTCGAAAAAATACTAAATATAACTTTTAAAAGAATTTGATAATTGAATAAAGGAGAAAAAAATAAAAATGCTTATACAGGTCGAAAATGAATCTCCGGAAATACAAGTCAGAAGGTATACTTGCAATATATCGTTGGAAAGCGGGGAATTTTAGAAAAATCAATATCTAAGAAAGAAAGTTGTAGAAGGTAACCGATAGTGGCGAAGAATTTATAAATAATAATTTTTGAAAACTGATAGTATTTAACGTAAATCACATGTTTTCAAGTAAATTAAATCAAATTTACTAACTAAATGTAAACTTTAAAAAATATTTTTATGTTCGTAGAAGGTATTTAAAATCCACCTAATCAAGGCAATGACATTGTTTGAAAAACTATTTCATTATTTTTGTGTGAAAGAAGAAGTAAAATATAAAATCATTTCATGGATGTATAAAGTATATGTTCATAACCTTAAATACATTTACTGTAGTTTAGCGATTATGGGTCTGATATTATATTTAAATTTAAATTTTAACGGATTCAAGGCAATGAAACTGTTTAAGATATTATTTCATTGTACTTGTTTGAAAGAAGTGAAATAGATACGTTAATAATCTTAAATATATTTACTGTAGTTTAATAACTTTAGATGTGATATTATATTAGTTATGTGGTTTATAAAAGCAGATGGAGTAACTAGATTTTTATTGCCTACCGTCGATATAATAAATGGAGTTTTTGTTATTTTAATAGTATTAATGATTTGTTAGCTGCAATATTTTAGCTTGAGCTCAGTTAAAAATGCAATTCAAAAATTTTATAATAGCCCAACAGGCCCAGAAAATAATTTCTATTCAAAGTTGAGGGATAAATGAAAGTTGTGTATTGCGCGCACCAGATTTTTTGTTTGGAGATTTAATTTAAAGGTGGAGATAATTTACTATCAATACTTAATTTTTTGCGAATAGAAATCACATATATTTAAGAAATAAAAATAAAAACTCACCCGTTTCACAATAACCAATAGTTGCTAGATTTTCACTGGTACCCAGCAAGAAATACGAACTACGTTGCTTCGTTTTTCTTTTTTTCTTCCAGCACTTTTTCAAATAGGGTAAACACACTTTTTTATATTTCGCCATCTCAAACTAGCCATTTTGATAATTAACAGTAAACAGGTGACATTTCCGACTACCTTTCTACAATCCTTACATTATTACAAATGTAATTGATAAGTCTTTTAGTAATATTTGTAATGTTTTAAGTATGTATTAAACACATTTCAATTCAAAACATGTTTTGTAAAGATTATGCTGTATCATTGTTTTTCTGTTTAGAATACACTGTAAGTTATTCTTATTTATTGTAATTGTTACATTTTAAGACAGTTCTTAATAATTTAGATAGATATATATATTATAATTTAGTCCAGAATTGAAATGAAACGGGTTACAGATTGCAATGAAAACCATGTGATGTTAAATTTCATTTTAACATAAAGTTTAATTAATATTATATCTAGCACATACATCAGAATATATACAATATAAAACATATCTTTCAAATCATATCATAATTTTTACTATTGAAAGATAATGATAAACTTATTCTTAGCAAAAAGGCTCATTATGTCCACATCCAAACCAATCCACATCTGATAAAAGATCAGTGCCATATTTATTCAAATCAGCTGGTAAGTCACTTCCGCCATATTTCGCTTTTGCCTTGAGGGAAGGCATCCTAAATCTGTTAAGTCGTCTCTTCTTGTTTAAAATGATACAAACTGTAATAGTTCTAACGTGGCTAAATTTTTGAAAACCAAGGCGATAAGTGAACAGACCAAGGCAGCAACTATACTGACAGGCAAAAAATTCCACCCTCTTGATTTTTTCATGTTTTCATCTAAAAATATTTCTGCTTTGGATTGGTCTATGTTTTTTTAAGAATAAATAGGTAATCTTTTTGTTTGTTTTCAATTAGGAATGTTAATATAGAGAACAATAACTCTTAATCTTTAATTCAATGGAATGATTCTAGATTCCAATTTTTACTTTCTATGGAATCAAAATGTTTATTCAGTATCATTAGTTCAGTGCCGTTTCTTGCAGCACATTTCTTAGTCTCCGGCTTTTAATTTTTTCAATATTAAGTTAAAAAATGCCTCTTAGTGCTGAGGATGTTGCGCGTGGTGTGACACTTATTGATGATGGACGTTCCATTAGATATACAGCTAATGCCACCGGAGTTCCATATGAAACTTTACGAGACGCCGTCAGGCGTTTTCGGGAAACTGGTTCTTACAATAGAAGGCCCGGTTTGGACGGCCTAGAGTAACAGAACCACGGGATGACCGGTTTTTTACTTTGGGAATTTTACGAAACCGGCACCTTACCGTTGTTCAATCGATTCATCAGCTCGAAGAAGTTCGAGGTGTGCCAATTTCTGAACGTAGCGTTCGGAGAAGATTAAATGAGTATGAATTAATGGCTTTTCGTCCAGTAAGAGGACCAGAGTTGACCAGAACTCACAGAGTAACACGGCTGGCTTTTGCTCGAGAACACAGCCATTGGACTATGGACGAATGGAGTGCTGTACTTTTTACAGATGAGTCTTCGATCTCCAGATGCCGTAAAAGGGTGTGGAGAAGAAGAAACGAAAGATATGCAGCCAGTAATTTTTCCCAGAGCCAACCTTTCCAACGTGGTTCCTTAATGGTGTGGGCTGGGATTTCAATGGAGCGCCGCACAGAATTGGTTGTTGTTCGTGGAGGGTCTTTGACGGCCATTCGTTATGTAGACGTTACCTCGTGTGTTGCCTATCCTCAGTGCAGACGTTCCCTCAACAGAACAGTATTGAGGTTTTAGCCTGGCCAAGACGTTCTCCAGATTTGAACTCCATTGAGCATTTATGGGATAACCTTGGAAGACGAATAAGAGCGCGTGCAACACTTCCTGATACACTGCAGGACCTTGAAAGGGCTCCTCGGGAGGAATGGGCTATCGTCCAGCAAAGGGACATTTCCCGACTGGTGGAAAGTATGCCGAGGCGTCTTCAAGAAGTAGTGAAGGCAAAAGGAGGAAACACGCGCTACTGAACGATGATGTAATTAATTTCTTTAAGAATAATAATGGTTCGTTTTTCAATTTTTGTTTCTCTAATCTTTCTTACCCAATCACATTTCGATTATTAATGTTCAGCTAGAAGTTTCAGCTGAATACACCTCCCTGAAGAAGACCTGCAAAGTCGAGTCGAAACGTCGACTTTTAATAAAATTGTTTTGTCACTATTTAGCCTTTTTATGACCGCCACCACGGCCCATCTCCTTCCTTTATTTTTTTTATGAATACGATATGTGTTTAGGCAATTTGGTTTATTATAATACATCTCAGGTAATGGAAAAAAAAAAGAACTAAAAGCCTTGTACACATTAATTGAAGTAATTTTAGCTGAAAACCGGAGTACATTTACTTGACAGCATACAAAATATTATTAAAATAATAATTGAGGCAATCAGCATTTTTTATTTTTATTTTAAACATAAATTCTAGGACTGAAAATCTTTATTTTGTCACTTATAAATAAAGATGGATTCCTATAATAGAGATATGGGTAATAACATATTTATATAAACATATATAAAAAAAAATATATATAACTAATTTACCGGGAAAATCAGTATTTTTCAAATTCATTTTTTATATAAAAAAAAATATGTGTTTAGGAAATTGGGTTTATTATAATACACCATCATTATTACTATCATTAAAAATAAGAATTAAAATCTTTGAAACCAATAATTGTAGTAATTTTAACTGAAAACAAGAGTACGTTTACTTGACAGGATAAAAAATATCAATTTTTTACACTGCTTGAGCTCAATATAAAATCTTTCCCAAGTAAACCTGAACTTATTTAATATGAATTTAAAACTTATCAAACACGAAGAAGGTTTTGGAAAAGTGGAGTATCTGCTGTACAATTAGATGATGATTAAAAAAAAAAAATGGCGAATAATTTATGATTTTTCTAAAAAAAGAACTTAGCTTAGTTTAGCCACGTAATAAAAGATCACTTAAAAAGTGATCTTTAACTGGTTTTAACAATAATAAAGTGTAATTTCATTTAAAGTAAATTTTATCTAGTTTACAATGAAGCAATTATTAATTACTTAAATTAAATATTTGTATAGATATTACTTTCGATTCAACAAAAAACAAGACACTTAAAAAACCACAAAACTTGGATTTCCTACTGAAAACTGACACTTAGTTTATATGAACTTTTTGTAACTCTTAAGACCTGCTATCCCTCCTATAAAATTTCCTTCTACTTACGGAACATCATGTATAATCAATACAACACATTTTTACGATTTTCTCGAAAACGACTCCAACGATTTAAATTATACTCGGTATGTCAGTGTATTATTAAGTTAGTTTTAATATCAGCTAGGTCTTATCCATATTGATGCCACTTTAAAGAGCTTAAATGCCTAATGTTCATACACGTCTTCCTTTACAGTACTATTAATTTGGTTTATTTAAAGAAAATCTGGTGTGTCCACTCACACGACTTTCCTAACTATTTCAAAAAAGTTTTTATATCTTTACATATGTTCATGATGAAACAAAAAAAAAAAAATAAATTAGATTCTATTTTCCTGAAAATTTTTTATTTATTTTTTTTATTTATTTATATCATACTTACAACTGTATACAAAAAATACATCTGATAAATTCGCACATGGATATAATGACATGAAACACATGTTGAGAAAATACCCATTGGTAGTACTCTAATAATATGCCTATAAAAGGAGATCACGTGGCCATCTACTTTTCAGACGCATCGGAGGATTATCAGGAATTGGATAGGAAGCAAGCTTAGAAACAAAAGGGTTGGGATGGTTATTCCTGAAAATTGATCAAAGAAAAGATTTGAGTACGATTTAGTTGATAAACTAAAGCAATGTAAACCGGCTTAAGGTAGATCAGTGTAAAAATTTCAATACTCTCTAATATTGCTAATCAAAAACATTTCATTTATTACGCTCAAGCTATTGCGCATGGAGCATCGAATTTCTGTCACAGGCATCAGTAGTCAAAACCTTACAAAATAAAAAAAGAAGCAACAAAATCGGTTCAATTGGTCCCGAGAAAATCTTGGCACAGACATACAGACAGACCAATGACTAACAATGTGTTTTTTGGACTTAAGGGGCTCTGAAACGTATAGATCCGTCGAAAAGCGCAAATCGAAAATTTGGCCCGATCGCAATACTTTCCTTACCTAGCACAGGCGGATCTACGGGTAGGGAGCTTTCGGGATGAAGCCCCCCCCCAAAATGGTAAAATATAACCATGTTTTATAGAAAAAAATATTAAAACTTATTTCTTAAAGTATTATAGTTCGTTTAATTACTTTTAATAAGATAAGACTTCAAGAATCACTAAGACACCATGTCCTATGGGTAGATAGTTTCTTTCTTTTTTTTTTTTCAAATTAATTATCGTTATATATATGAAAAAAAAATCCTTCGGGCTGAAGCCTCCTCCCCCCCCCCCCCGAAATTAAATCCTGGATCTGCTAGTGTTACCTAATATAGGTAGGAAAGTAAAAAAAAAAAAAACTATCTTATTGCAAGTAACTATAAAAATGGCTAAATATAAATTATGAAAGAGTTTGATTATTGGAAAATAGAGAAAAAAGGAGAAATGTTTATTTAGGTCGAAAATGAATCTCCGGAAATTCTAGTCGAAGTTATTGTTGTAATATATCATTGGAAAGCGGAGAGTATTAGAAAAAATAATATCTAATATAGAAGGTAATGGAGATTGACGAAAAATTATAAATAATAATTTGAGAAGAATAATATTATTTAATGGATATCGCATGTTTTCAAAGATTTTTTTTGCACTTTCATTAATTAATCCGCAACTGTCAATTAGAACCATCAACAATCAGCAGATGTCATAATCATGAGAGAAAAAAAAAATAAATAAAAAGGCATGAGGCACGAGGAAAAGCAATACCCAACGACATCCCTTACATGGCTTTTACTTACATAATTAGGTAAAGAGGTCTCTCATCCAGACCCTTTTCAGGCGTTTTCTGGAGTTCTCTGGCATAATAGTTGAGGCCATTTCTTTAATTAGCTGATTGGAGTGTCCATTTAACTTATTAAGAAATCGTTTGTAGTAAGTTCGTATGTGTTCATTGATCGTTGGCATGTGTAAGTCAGTGTGTAAAGTGTTGTTATTCACGTACCAGAATGCTTGGAGCAATTAGTCGTAGTATGAAAAAATGAATGAAAGTCGTGTTATGTGTGTTGGTTTTACAATACTCCATATATTTTTATTCCATAAGTTCAGAGAGATTTTAATAGATATGTATAAATATTTAATTTTTGTCTAGCTTTTAATTTATAATGTCGTCTTAATAATGAGTGCAACAGTTTTAGTCTGTGATTTAATAATGCACGTTTTTTCTTTTACTTACATATATATGTAATATATTTCAACGGAAATACACGTTTTGAGGTACCCTGAGTCGAAATGACCAAGTTCCGAAAAATGGTCTGTGTGTTTGTATGTTAGCAGTCTAGCTCAAAAACGAAAAGTCGTACGAAACTGATATTACGTATTTAAGCTAGATATATGCCTTAGATTTGACAGCAACTTTTTCCTCAAAATCGGCTAACCGGAAGTGCCACTTTATATCAACGCTGAAACACATTTTTATAATTTTCTCAAAAACGGCTCTAACGATTTTTAAATTTATCTATATAACACACTTCAACGAAGAGAAGCTGGAAAAAAAGTTACGAGGAATGGTAAAATTAAATTCCGAATAACTCAAAAAGTATACACTTTTTGTCGATATTGTATATGGTTTTTTAAAATTTACGGAATTTCCTAAAAAACAGAAAAAAAAATCGTTAAAATCGGTCAATTAGGAGGAAAGATATGGTCTCAATTTTTTTTTTTTTTAAATATGTTCTGCTGCAAAGGTTATATCTTTTGTTTTGGTTTTTGAATTTTGAATGTGTTACTTAGGTAATGCTAATTGTTTTAGCGTCTTACTAATGATTAAAAAAAAAAAAGTTAAGTCCATTAATTGGAATCACCTTTTATTTTTTATTTTTTTTAACTAGGAACGTAATGTTACTTTAGATGAATAATTGTTATTAAAAAATAATAAACCATTGTGAAATAATTTTCAACGTTTTTTATATACAATACATATTGTTGACTGGTTAATATTTATTTTTTGATGTTATTATTTGTTGTATAAATGTACTAAAGTCTAATAGTAAGTGTTCTGAAAGGATTTCTTATATATTTTTTTGAGATGAAAATTCAAAATATATTGTAAAAACAGATTTTATCCCTGAAGAGGTGAAACTTTGGATAAATTAAAAAAAGAACTTTTTTAATTGTTGAGACTAAAAAATCCTTTTTTCTACAGATATTTAAGAATGTATTTTCTAAGAACATCTTTCAATCTAAGAAATAAGTACCTAAATTTATACCTTTATTCACCGGTCTATATTTCAACACTGCAATCACCACCTCCGGAATCAACTTACTCACTGTCTTTAGATAACTTTTTCAACTAAAAATATCACTAAAATGACATTACTCAAAAATGTTAAAATCGGAGTTAGTCCTTCTGTGGTTTATAAAAGCAAAGAAAGTTGTGTGGTTTATAAAAGCAGATGGAGTGACTAGATTTTTATTGCCTACCGTCGATATATTAAATAGACATTTTGTAATTATAATGGTCTTAATGACTTGTTATCCGTAAGCTTTAAGCTTTATCTCCTTTTAAAATGCACTTCAAACAATTTTATAATAGCCCAGCATTGGCAGGAAATAATTTCTATTCAAAGTTGAGGGGTAAGTGAAAGTTGTGTGTTGCGCGCACCAGATTTTTTTCTTCACATGTGGATCACAAGTCTTTATTCTATCAAACGTCAGAACTAGGCATTGTACTCTGGCTATTTATGGAATCGGTACGTTGTCTAAGTATACAGGAATGTATATTTCCAGTCTTAGAGTAAATATGATGTGTTATTACTTTTGATAATTTATTTGAGTTTTCCAAAGTTTATACCAATGGAGTTGTATTTGTAAGTGATGTTGTAGGTTAAGTGATACTTGTGAATGATAACAATGTCGTCTGCGTAGGTTGCTGTAAGGGTGTGGATACTTTGAGGAATGTCGTGTGTGTATGTGATGTACAATAATGGGACTAAGATTGATCCTTCAGGTACACAGGTCGAATTGAGGATAGACCTGAGCCATGTCGAACGGTATTTACAACAGGAGATCTCGAGGCCATCTTCTTATTTACTTACTAAATGTAAACTTTTAAAATTTTTTTAGTTAAAAAAATATTTAAAATCCACCAAATCAAGCCAATGAAGTTGTTTTAAAAACTGTTTTATTGTACTTGTACAGAAGAAGTGGAACATAAAACTATTTCATAGATGTTTAAAATATATGTTTATAACCTTAAATGCATTTACTATAGTTTAATAACTCTAGATCCGATATTATATTTAAATAATAAGGTTTACATCTTCGATTTATTCCAAAAAAATTTACCTTTGTGAAATCACATTATCACTTACAATTAGTGTGACGACTTTTGACCTTATTTTCTGTATGTTTTCCAAGAATAAAAAATAAGAATTTAAAGAAATGTAAAAAATGGTAGAGATTTAGTCACTATAATTTTTACAATGTAGTACGATCCTTACCTATTCATAATGAAATATATGGCTCTAGAGAGTCTATAGAGCTCAGAGACTGTAGTTATGTTATTCAAATAGACTGATGCATTATAGATGAGGTTTTTATAGGATAAATTATATTACATATTATAAATAGAATTACGTTATTGCGACGGTCTTAATGAGTTTCTGTATAGATGAATATGACCGAAATTAAAAAATATAGTTTTTAAAGTTTAACTGCATTAAAAATGAGCTATAAAAATTTCTTTTAATAGCCCGATTTTGCCGAAAAATAATTGATTTTGGAAGTAGAGCTGTAAGTGAAAGTTGTGTGATACGCGCACCAGATTTTACTTAAGTATTGGCAGTTATATTTTTGTAACTTATTTAGAACTACTAGCTGATGTACCCATCGTTGACGGGTGTATAGTGGAAATTGGAGAATCCGTGTAAAATTAGAACTTGATCTGAATATTGTGGAGGATTTAATGAAATTTTTGGGATTTCGTTGGACAATGCGGATATCCAGACAGACAAAAAATTTTAAAAAGTCGATTTGGTGTCTTTATTGTATAAAACGAAAATATATAATAAAACGGGTTGATTATGTTCAATATACAGACAAAACCTTTATTTTATTTATTTAGATGTTCTTTAACCTATGAACATATGTTTATTATTAATTTTTATTATCAACATTAACCGAGATCTTTAGACAAATTACTAAACAATTCATAACTTTGGTTTTACTCAATATTTTGTTTCCATTTAAAGCCTATGTTGTAAGTCAAACACACCTTAATATAGTCTCAAAGTTTCAAAAGTCTGCAAAAAGCTATTGCTGAGCTTACCCCTGACAAAATTTCGTTGCAATGGGGACATACAGACAGACAAAAAATTTTTTTAAAGTGGATTTGGCGTCTGCAATGTATGGAACGGAAAGACATCATAAAACGGGTTGATTCTATTCAATGTACAAACAAAAACTTTATTTTATTTATATAGATGTTCTTTAACCTATAAACATATGTTTATTATTAATTTTTATTATCAACATTAACCGAGATCTTTAGACAAATTACTAAAGAATTCATAACATTGGTTTTACTCAATATTTTGTTTTCATTTAAAGCCTATGTTCTAAGTCAAGCAAACCTTAATATAATGTCAAAGTTTCAAAAGTCTGCAATAAGCCACTGCTGAGCTTACCCCTGACAAAATTTCGTTGCAATGCGGACATACAGACAGACAAAAAATTTTTAAAAGTGGATTTGGTGTCTGCAATGTATGAAACGTAAAGTTGTCATAAATGGGTTGATTCTATTCAATGTACAAACAAAAACTTTATTTTATTTATATAGATTATAGATTTTTCAAATACACATGATTTAATAAATTATTACGATTGTATTAATGAGTTTGTTACGATAATCATAAATAAACATATTGTTTTATTGAGAATGTGAAATTAAAAAAAAATAAACGGACTTCTTAAATATAAATACCATTCTTTCATTAAAAATGAAGGCCATCAAAATTAAGGAACGGTTATTACACAGAAAAATTAAATGTTTCCGAGGACAATATATGAAATTATACACTTCCTATAATGGTAAAGCTAATGGAAGGTGCACCTTAAGTTAAATATTAAGAATACTTATTGTTATCAAAGTTAACCTCGTCAGTGTTTACTATCTATTGTTTACTATTAATTTTCAATGAAACATTTATTCTTTTATGACATACGATTTCTACAAAACTGTTATTTTACTAAAAGTAACGGTTAATAAAGTGACTGGCGATACTTAAATAAAATAGACCGTTTTGTAATATATACATTAAGGAAAAAATAAATATTTTCTATGTTTCAACGCCCTTGTAAGCACAACGACATTGATTTCTAAGTTACGCAATCTTTATCTTATCAATACCGCTTCCCTTGATGATTAATAGACTAGAAGAGTCGCAAAAATATGAATCGATACTTAATATTCCTGTAATCACCATATATTTTGAATTCAATGGTAATTGTTTTTTTTTTTTAGTTCCTTAATTAAGTAGATTCTCTATCTGTTTCTCTAACAGTTACGTTAAAAAGATGCAAAGCTGACAATCCTTTAGTTAGTAAATGACTGCCGTCCTAAACCATGAAATGGCCGTCAGTTTCTTCCACGGGCGGATCTACGAGGGGGGGCTTTGGGTCTGAAGCCCCCCCAAAACGGTAAAATATAATCATGTTTTATAGAAAAAAAAATTAAAAAGTTATCTCTTATAGTATTATTGTTCCTGTAATTACATTTAAAAGGACTTTAGGAATCACTTAAACACCATTTCATATAGGTGTTAGTTTCTTTATTTTTTCCAAAAGTAATTATCGATATTTTTATGGAAAAAAAAGCTTTCGTGCTGAAGCCCCCTCCCCAAAATTAAATTCTGGACCCGCTAGTGGTTTCTCCGTATCCAAGGATTTCAAATCAAAACATTAAAAAGATCAAAAATGTTTAGGGATTTTTATAATTTATTCTTATTTAATACGTTTCAATTAAAATGACTTTTTTTTTTTTGTTAGGGATTATCTTATTTGTTGGCAAACATAAAAAGTATTAACTAAAGGATAGTCAACATGAAAAATACTCATTTTCATAAACCAACAGCTGTTTTCGACTTTACTCAATTTTAATCCAGTAATATTTTGCTAAACGATGGAAAGACATAATCTTGAACCAGAAGTTCACAATCTGTAATGGACAAAGTCTTCCGTGATTTCGTAAGATTCAGAGAGACCGCAAGGGGGCTTTTGCAGGTTAGCACCATCAGGTATTTTTTAATAGTCACCGGTTATTTTCCGTGAATAAAGAAATCACTTGATATTGAAAGCTTTAATTATGATTAACCTAATTCACATTTTTTAAAAGGTTATTCACTTGGCCAAAACAAATCATTTACGCGGTTTCTTCGACACCAAAAATAGCCACAAAGATATGAATCCATCATAATTCTGACTATGCATTTTTTAAGAGCCTCATACTTTTTATCCTTTATTGCAAAAGCGCTTGTTCTCGATAATTTCAGCTTCCTAATAAAACTTAAAGGCTTCATTTAGTTAATTTTGCTGACTAAATGAATCTTTTAACAGATTTTTATATATGCCCCTGGGAAATCTGTGAACTTTGAACCTTTTGGCTAACACAGATAGCTAAACGATCACACTGTTGCTTGTTGCAGCCCATCTAAAACAGGTATGGAGAGACATACAACGTTAAGGTCTCACGCAAACGGTCTTCTTCGAGACCTAAATGCCCGCTTAAAAGTTCTTAAAAGTAGTCTTGAAGCGGCAAAGATGGAGGCCTGGATAGAAAATATCCACAAGCGCATCTTTGTTATTTACAATCCACCTCGGAACAAGCCTAAGTTGGACTCAACTACTGATGTCGTAGAAAGTATATGGGAAGATTTTATAGACGCAAGCGCAGTAATGTTCATTGACAACAACCAAGCCATTCCTACCTTCTTATCATACAATCGATACTTATCAAATCCTGATGTAGTCTTGGCTTACCCTACTCTAACCGAAAAGATTTACCATAACTTGTTTAACTCTCCTGGAGACTTTGGACCGAAGATCCTCGGCGTCGAGCTTGTACATCCTCGAAACTGTATAACGAAGAGAACTGCTTCAGCTTGGAATATGAAGAAAGCAAATTGGGAAACACATGCAAATAAAACTGATGAGCTTCTTATTTCAGACCTTGTAGAATGTAATATCGACAGAGCACTGAAGAACATAAAAAATGCTATTATTTAGTCAGGGAAGCCGTCCATTCATAGAGGTAAGGTTAAGAAGTCCACGCCATTTTGGAACAAGGAACTAGAAAAACTCAAAAAAAGAACGTGATAAGGCTCTAGTAAAAGCAATAATGACTGGACAAACCGAAGACAGAACTGAGCTCAAGCGTCGAGGAGCTGAACTAAAGCGTGCTATTAAACAGTAAAAAAAATCAGCTTACAGATCATTTCTCGAGAAACATGATTTCAGAAAACTTGCCATTAAAGCTCACGGGATTTTATAAAAATTGAACAATAATACAATACTCTAAAACGTACCAATCCAGACAGAATCAACTGACTACTGACAAATGAGAAGGACATAGTTTGACATTTTTGTAAGCACTATTGCACTATAAGCAATTTCAAGCCGAAAACAAAACAGCTTCAAATAAAACTTTCATCAACCTGCTTGGCTGAGGAGCAATCCAGAGATTTTAACAAGCCATTTACGTTGGTAGAAATAGATGTTGCTACACAGAATATATCAGGGGGAACGTCACCAGGGCCTGATAAAATATTTCCTGTATTCCTTAAATATTTAGGAACAAAATCCAAGAATATCATCTTCTATTTCCTAAACATAGTCTGGACACAACATCTACCCTACCGAGAAAGAGTGATAAAACCAATATTAAAAAATGGTAAGAAATCTGAAAAAACAGAAAACGTCAGGCCAATATCACTGATAATTTGTTTCTGGAAGTTACTAGAAAGGAGGTAATACACAGACAACAGGTTTCAGGAAAACAGGAACAAATTGTTAATTTTTCACGACGGCTGTCATCAAAGACAAAGCTCCTTAGCTGTATTTGTTGACTTCGAAACAGCTTTTGATAGGGTCTAGTGGAAACAACTCGTGCACAAGTTTATTGGAAGGGGATACATGGATATCTATACAGCTTTCTGGCATCCTTCCTTTCTCAAAGATTCATTATAAAAATAGATTTTCAGAATTGAAGTGAGGCTCTATTACTGGAATCCGTAAAGCTGATCCTACACGGTCATTCAGAATTGAATTCCGAGGCACTAATGACGTTACGAATTATCATGTAAGATAGTAATGATAGTGGTGTGTGGCGGATTTCCGAACATCCGGAAATCAAAGGTTCATTCACGAGAAGTGGAGGGGGGACTGAGGTAAAAGTAGTGGGGAGACTAACCATACTGCTGGATAGGTTAGGTTACCTAGGCCTCACAAAAATTATAAATTTCTGGTTTTCATTATAAGTAAATAGTTAAATAATTTTTCATATCCCTTGTTTATATTTTTAAACCATATTCAACTATTTCTTTTTAATAGTCAAGTGGGCAACAAATTAAAAAAAAAAAAGTGGAAACTTTACAATTTACTTTAAGAAAAAAAAAATCTTTAACTGTTGTATATATTTGTCAGTTCTTTTCCCATTTTCCTCAACAAATTTATTATTTTCCCAATACCTTTTCTTAATTTTTGTAAGTAGTAGACTTATATTTTACTAACTTTTGTCAAAACGATTTTCTATGAGACTAACCTTACTACTAGATAGGTTAGTTTACTTAGGTCTCGTTTTTAAGTAAATAATTTAATAAAAGTAAATAGTTGTTTATATCCCTAGTTAATATTTTTATTAACCATTTTCAACTAATGTTTCTTTAAATAGTCAAGTAAGCAATAAATTGAAAAAAAAAAGTGGAAATTTCACAATTTACTTATAGAAAAAAAAAATTAACTGTTGTGTTTATTAGTCATTAATTTTTCCAATTTTCTTAACAAATTGATTATTTTCGCTATATTTTTCCTAAATTTTTGTATGTAGTTGACTTATATTTTTCTAACTTTGGTCTAAACGATTTTCAGGCACTAGGAAGTAATTATTATATCTCCGTTTTTCTCTTGATGCCCAATATTATAAATGACAATGTCCAAATAAGCATATCTATGCTGTTTGTTTGTTTACAACTGAGCTAAATAGGCTTCAGCCATGATAAGTAATGATTGAATGTGTAAGGGTCTTCATGATCAAAGCGATCCCGAGCAATCTTTTCTATTCTTGTGACGTTCATTCATGAATTACCGTGTAGGGTCCGCTTAAAGAGCAGGTATTGTGCAAAAGCAATGGAAAAAATTGTTAAATGAATTAAATCGAATTTCCATAAACCTGCCGAGAAAGGAAGTTGTGGCAATTGTTCCGGATGATAACTGGCCATGACTACGTCAGAAAACATCAGTATAGAACAGGAGTGAGAGACTCTCCACATTCCAATCTATGTAATTCGGGAGCACATATGGACGCAGCGCATGTAGTTATATGCTAGCACTTGTTGAACATAAGATAATCGTATACCACGTGGTCCATATCAGAATGGTACTGGGTTGAAAAAAAAAGTTTTTATAATAGAAGAATAACGATATTGATTCAAATATTACTAATATTTACTTTTGTATTACAGATACTTTCCTGTTTAAAAATAACTGGCGGGGATAATTTACAAAAGATCCACCGGAGATATCAATAGGAGACCTGGTTGTGAATTCCAGCAAGGGATGATAGAAATGTTATTACTGCTGGAAGCAATCCGTTTCATAATACTCGACAGATCTCAAATGAAGTAGCGAATGTTCTACAAAGGTCTATTATTAACACAGACGATGGGTGCCCATCCATGGTCAATGGCTCATGAACCTCTCCCCTCCTTAAAAGATATTTTATCGCTTCTTAATAACAGTAGAATGATGATGATAGAATGATGAAGAATTTTTAAAATCATAGGCCATATACATTTACACTTGCAGTAATCTGTTCTATGCAGTCCGCTGGTTTGAAACTTTTTATTTCGGAAATTCATAACCCAGTCAAAATATGATTCCTCAAAAATTTCGATGGCCCAACTTGCGCCATGAAACCCCCTACTGGAAACTCCTGTGTTTACCAAACTATGAAAATGGAGTTACAATCTATGTAAATAAAAAAATCTGTTGCGCGCAACACACAACTCTCACTTACCGATCTACTTTGAATAGAAATTATTTTCTGGCAATGCTGGGCTATTATAAAATTTTTTGAAGTGCATTTTAAACGGAGCTAAAGCTTGAAGCTTACCGATAACAAGTCATTAAGACCTTTATAATTACAAAATGTCTATTTTATATATCGACGACAGGCAATAAATATCTAGTCACTCCATCTGCTTTTATAAACCGCACAACTTTCCTTGCTTTTATAAAACACAGAATGACTAACTCCAATTTCAACATTTTTGAGTGATGTCATTTTAGTGATATTTTTAGTTGAAAAGTTATCTATGCAGACAATGAGTAAGTTGATTCCAGAGGTGGTGATTGCAGTGTTGAAATATAGAACTGAGAATAAAGGTATAAATTTAGGTACTTATTTCTTATGAAAGAGGTTCTTAGGAAAGACACTTTATTAAATATCTGTAGAAAAAAGTTTTTTTTAGTCTCAAAAATTAATTATATACAAACCTTAAATACTTAATATCAGTTTCGTACTACTTTTAGTTTTTGAGCTAGACTGCTAACATACAAACACACAGAAACACAGACCATTTTTCGGGACTTGGTCATTTCGACTCAGGGTACCTCAAAACGTGTAAATCCGTTCAAAACTCTCGATCGCAATACTTACACTTACTATATATTACATATATACGTAAGTGAAAGTAATAAAGATTTTGTCTGGACATTGAATAGAATCCACCCGTTTTATGATATCTTTCAATTTCATACATTGCAGATACCAAATCTACTTTTAAAAAAATTTTTGTCTGTCTGTATGTCCGCATTGCAACGAAATTTTGTCAGGGGTAAGCTCAGCAATGGCTTATTGTAAACTTTTGAAATTTTAACATTATATTAAGGTTTGCTTGACTTAAAACATAGGCTTTAAATGAAAACAAAATATCGAGTAGAACCAAAGTTATGAATTCTTGAGTAATTTGTCTAGAGATCTCGGTTAATGTTGATAATAAATGTTAATAATAAACATATGTTTAAGGTTAAAGAACATTTATACAAAAAAAATAAGGGTTTCGTCTGTACATTGAATAGCATCAACCCGTTTCTTCATATCTCTCCGTTTCATACATTACATACACCAAATCCACCTTTGAAAAGAAATTTTGTCAGGGGTAAGCTCGGCAATGGCTAAGGGTAGACTTTTGAAATTTTGATATTACCTTTAGTTTTGCTTGACTTAAAATATGAGCTTTAAATGAAAACAAAATATTGAGTAAAACCAAAGCTATGAATTCTTGAGTAATTTGTTTAGAGATCCCGGTTAGGCAGTTACATCGGTTCGAATCCCAACCAACTTTACCGCTAGCCACATTTAAAAGTTGTACTACTCAACTGATGGGAAAAATTATCACAACCAAACGGGGAAAATCCGGAATACCGATCATCTGTAACGCGTTGTCACTTAAAACGGATAAAACACAGTCATTTTTCAACTTTGTCCGATCTTCCCGTTCAAGGTGTCATTCAATTCAACTTCCTGAGCCTGACAAATGTTATCGTATACATTTTTAGGATTAACCAAACGGGTTAGCCGGAAATCAGTAAAAAAAACTCAAAAATTTCACCCCGCCCGCCACAATATTCAGATCAAGTTATAATCTTACACGGATGTAGGTGACTCAATGTCCAATGTTATTTTGGTTATTTTGCCACAGTTTAAAGAAGTGGAGAGACCACAACTCTTTTTTATTAATTAATTGACTCCACAATATCCTCCCTTCATCATAAATGAAAATTAAACACTTAACAAATTTTAATGGGTCGGTTTAGTTATGTGGTACCTAAACAGCCGAATAACAAAGTTTTTATGTCCCTAATCTTGACTTCCATAAGCCCCACCATAAAAAATTTCAAAACAACCCTCCTAAAATCCATCTCAAAAAAAGATTCTCTAATTTTAACTTTACATCCGTCAAGTTATACTAGTAATATTATAAATAACAAAGAATTGTGTTTGAGACATTAGCAGGATTTATAATTAAAATATTATACGTTGGCGCCATAAAAATAAATCAATACTAGATAATAAATTACATTTTTATCAGCTACATTTTGTGAAAACATGAGTGATTTAGTAGAATCTAAGTTATTCAGGGAGCCATAATTAATTCTCGACACCTGGAGAGTTGATCAATGCCATTGCAGCCAGTGTTGCTCCTTCACGGCCACCACCTGCTCTGCACCACGGTCATCTCGAATTGGTAACACTGGTCGCCCCGGAACCACACTCAAATGATTTTAGGCGGGGGGGGGGAGAGAGATTATTTTATCTATTGCTGTTGCCTCGAGCGTTACGTGGAGCCTTACGGCAATTATATGCTGGTGTAATAGTGTATTACATTATCGGTAATTCTTTATGGTTTTAAAAAACAATCGAAAAATAATAGTAGAAGACGTACTTGCTTGTCTCGTCTTTAAAATCTATTGGCTCACCGATATCAAGCTAAAACATGATTTTTATCTCAAGAGCACTAAACAGTATTCCAAATACAGTTTTAAATTTTGATTTTAATGTTCCTTATGTTTCAGATCTGGCCCAATCCAGATACCTATCCTTCCATAATAAACTTCAGAATCATCCCAACCCTCTAGTTTCTAATCTTGCTTCCTCTTCAATTCCTGATAACCCTCCGAGGCGTCTGAAAAGAAGATGGCCCCGTGATCTCCTAATGTAGTCATATCATTAGAGTGCTACCATTGGGTAGTTACTCAGCAAGTGTATTCATGTCATTATATCAATTATGTCCAAATTTACTTGATGTATTTATGTAAGACAGTAGTAAATGTCATAAAGAAATAAAAAAACAAAAAAAATTTTGATTTTACTTTCATTCACTGGGGAATCTACGGAGAGGGGGGCTTTAGTGCTAGAAGCGCTGTCCTAAAAAAGGAAAATATATATTATTGGGTGCTCTGAACTTAATATTTAAACAATTAAAATATGTACACTCATTTTAAGTTACTAAATGTAAGCTTACTGTTTTGTTTTTTTAACAGACTAGGAGTTCTTGAACATAAGTTCATATAGGTTCTTTCTTTATCTTGCAGTGTAGTTCCATTATAATAAGAAAAGACCTACCGTTACATTAAAAAAAAAAAGTTCTTCTAAAATTAAAACCTGCGGATCCGCTACTGCTTTCGCTTATCTATCTATCCACAAGATAAACACTACTATATAAAATAATGTATACGTGGCACTTAGGAAGGCCCGATAAAAAAAAAAAAAAAAAAAAAGTGGACACACCAGATATTTTCATTACATTTTTTGCCTTTATTAAAATCTTTTTATTTTATTTTAATATTTTTTTAATTTTCATTTCATTTATTATTATGATTATTTTTTATTGTACTGCATATGTAGTATGGATGTGCTCCTTCAGGTTTAATATTCAGTTCTCTTAAGTGTGACAAAATGTAGTATTTCTTAACAAAATGAATTTAAATGTTAAAACTGCTCAAAAACGAAACTGAAATCATGTATTTGCAATAGACCTGGTATATCACTGCAACGTTTTCGTAAAAATTTACCAACAAGAAATGATATTGGGTTGGCAAATAAGTCCTTTCGGTTTTTCAGTTTATTTTTGTGTCACCATGATACACTTCTTTTCTGATGGATTAAACTCCAAAGTGGATTGTTTATCCTGTTTGTAATAGATGAACAACTATATCTGTCAACTCTTGTTGAAACTAGCTTAGTATTGTGTTTGCCACTGCACTGTGAATATGGAAGAAAAATCTGCAGTGTTTATGGGGATGATGCCTCAACCGAACGCATCTGTCAAAATTGGTTTGCCAAATTTTATCAGGAAATTCTGACATCAGTAATACTCAAAGGTCTTGTCGAACACATGAAATTTAAACGAGCAATGTTAGGGCCATTGTTGATCAAAATCCCACCCAATCAATGCGAGAGATTGTCATGGCCCTGAATATATCGCACACAAGCGTAGAAAACCATTTGCACAAGTGCGGCGATGTTTCCAGGCTTAATGTTTGGGACATTATTTTTTTTCCCGATCACAAATCACAAACGCATAACTTCAATACGACTTTCGCTATCAACAAGTATTTTATGAGGAATTTAGGGCCACTTAAACCACAAAAAATTATATCAACAACAAACTACAAATGGAGATAAAAAATAAAAACCTATAAGGAGTTTTGTTTATTTATTCCGTTTATTTTGTTTATTATTCCTGAGAGACCCCAGCGCTTTATATCATCGATTCTACACATTTTTATAATTTTCTCGAAAACGACTCTAAAAATTTAGATTAAACTCGTCATATCTACGTAAAATTAAATGTTCTCTAATACAATGTAGAAATTAATCTCTCAGAGCTTAAATACCAAGTTTTCAAAATTTGTTCGTTTAACGTACCTTTAATATGGTTTCCTGTCTCTCATGGTTAGTAAAATAAGAAATAGCTAAACATAAATTATGAAAGAATTTGATAAACAACAATTGGAGAAAAATAAGAAACATTCGCGTCGGAAATAAACGACTAATAAAGTATAAAATAAATAAGTGCAAGGAAATAAAGTGTAGATAAATATATATGTATAACATATCG